GGACATTTCGGTAAACCTGCCTGTCCGCATTTGGGGGTGGTTAATGCGAGACTACTTCTATTCGGTCTCCGATTGAGTTACGCCCTAGAATTTAGCATCCGACAATTTGTTCGGATTTAATGAATTCATGCCACCCATACTTTATTCGATTCCATGTAGAAACCATCGATAATATAGTATGTGTTTGGTATAATGTGTATAGATATTGTTGTGTGTGCGTGTGTGTGTATTTGTGTGTAAAGACTCCAAATAAAGTATGTTGTGTTGTATTCGGTTTGCCACATAATAACGTATCGTATTTAGCTTGGGTTGGCTGTGGTCGATAACCGCTGTTTCCTGCCAGCTTAACAAAACGATTTATCAGTACAAGTACGTACGTATGCGATGTATGTTTATGTGCATTAGTCGAACACAAAATACACACGTATGTAAGGTACACGTGTAATGTAATAACGTTTACGTATTTGCATGTACCCACCGTACTTACTATGTAAACTCGAATCTATGGTTGAATGTTGTGCACATTATGCAACATGCTTTTGTTTGACGATGCGACGATAAGTCAGCGAAAAAGTTGCAAACACAAAGTTACAGCTCCAAGGATTTTTGAAGTCGGCTTTTATTTTTTTATTTTAGTATTTTTACTATTTCTAATGGTTAACTGTTTATTTATTATATTTATTTATACCTGTAGAAGATTATTCACACAGACTTAAATAAGTGGCATTTAAAAAAAAATTACTCAACCAGTTTTAATGAAATTTAAATGGGACCAATTGGATAGTATGCAAATAAACCGCAAAATTAATTCAGTAGATACGTGACATGATACCTACCTGTAATGTTTTCGATACGAAAATATTACTCTTTAGTTAATGGTTGCGTTAGCAATAATATTAAGCAAAAGCTTTTATAAAACCCATAAATCTGATTTTGTTTGTGTAATATACTAGTAAATTTCCTATGAAAAACAGATTGACATAATGGTGGGAATTTTCTACTTTTTTATATTAATGAAATTCGTATGTGTATTATTATAGTTGACACATATTTGTTTATACATTTTTCTTCGAAAGTGTAATTTAAACAATTTATAGCGTGATGTAGATGTTTTTATATTATGTTTAATTTTTCCTGAGAACTTTGCCAAATACGTTGTCGAATGCCTAACATTATAAATGAAAACAGAAGCTATAAAAAGAAACATTTTCTAAATGTAGATTATGATTTTTATAACTACTGTAATCTAGGTTAAGAAGTTATAATACATATCT